ACACCACTGGAATAGAATTGAAATGAACTAGAGTCACAAATGAAAAAAAATTTAGTGGGATTTAGTGTAGCCTTCAAAAAGAGCTGAGAGTACGAATATTTTCTCTAATTGCAAGGGGTAAAGAGGTATCTTCAGAGGGATTGAGAATTGAGTTCAGAGACACGTGGTTTCAACCGTTTTGCTCAGGTCATGGTAATAGTGTCATGGGTTAATCATATTGGTTTAAACGATTGGATAAAATTTGAGAAAGAAATCTATAGATGTTCGATTTGAGAGTGGTAATAAATGTTTTTGTGTTTTTGAGTTTGATAACTGGCACAATTAGAATCAGAATTCAAGTTTTTCATTGCAAGTCTATGTTCGTGGTAGTATGTTTTGTCAAGATATGAATTGGTAAAGTAAGAAATGATCGATCACATCGAGTATTGAGCATTTGAAAGAACATATGCAGGGTTTGAGTCGTAGAATTTGTTACTTTTGATTGTTAAGGGGCCTAAGAAAGTACTTCAGTTAAAGTGTTGGTTTAAAGTATAAGGTATAATATCATGGGTTGTTGGTCAAAGGGTACGATGGGTAAGCAAGACAACAAAATGAAAAATAGTATGGTGTATTGAAGAGTTCAAGGTATTTGAAATTTGCGTCATGGGAAGAATTTAAGAGATGTGAAGGAATAAGACCTCTCATATAAATTCTTGGTTCGAATTTGAAAGATGTATGGATTTTCATATATAAGTTCTAATATGACTATGGATGTGAATTGATTCGGTATAGACTTACTAGGGTTTTATCATCGACTTTTATAAAGATTGAGTTTTGGTTGGGTTACAATCAATGATGTGTGGAAGATTCTATGTGGTTATGTCGAGCTAGACTGTTCAAAATATGATAGGTAACTTGTGGATGTTAAATGGTGTGGACCTATATTTCTACATGGTTAATGAGGATTTTGAGGGAATTGAAACTACTTTGTTGATGGAACAATATAGATTGTTATGATGTGGTATATAGGCATTTAATGGTGAGTAGAGGTTATGTGCTTATAGTATATAAAATTATTAGAGTGACTAAGGATTTCTCTGAGTTTTGGCATAAGGTATGTGAAGGTTTGGAATAGTAGTTGAGACATTGTATGTGAAAGACTGCGTGGAGTTGACATTGTGTGTGATTCAATAGTGTTATCTCGATGAAAATGTTCTATCAATTTTAAAAATTTGTGATATCAGTCTTAATTGTGACTCATATCTGTCATGTAATGCTTAAATAGAAAGAGAGGGAGCCATAGTTCAATTTTTTTTTTGGAGGAGATAATGTGTTGCTAAGAAGACTTTAATACTAGTGACGGTTTGAGAGTAAGGTAAATGGTTGATGTGGCTATGATGTTCTGTTAGTATTAAGAGTGTTGACCTTAGTGAAGTACTGTGAATAGCATATGCGGTTCGATAAAACAAGTATGTGAGCAATTATAATCGGGACTAGATTGGTGATTGTGGGTAGCTAGAAAATTAAAGAGATAGAGCCATATGAATGAAAATGTTTGATATGAGCACTATGGTAGAAGTATCTAGTGTTATTCGACTTTGGTTCTGTATATTCTTTTATGACCATCAACTTCGTTTTGAATATGGTTTGGAGTGTGATTCGCTACCTATACCCACACGCGTTTTCATATCTATGGGTGAATTTCTAGTGGTTGATCGGGTGTACCGATCCTGTGATTGTCCTATTAGTAGGGTGACATTCTTGTGTAGAGTTGGTCATTTTTGTTATGATAAATTTGATATTGTTTGGGATAGTTGAAGTATACCAGTAGTTCTATATGCACATCCTTGGTTATGAGAACTTATATAAGAGCTACTATGAAGAGTACAATTGTCTAAGAGTATTGTTAGAGGTTCTGTATGTTGAAGTGTATCCCTTGTTGGGTGTTTACTTCATATTGTTCTTCTTTGGGTTATATAAGTTTGATTCTCCCTTGATGTGTATCCGATGTCTAAAGATTGGATTTTTTAAACTTAAGCTCATGAAAAGATTGTGTTATGAAAAGGAAATCTTGATAATATATGTGATAGTTTGTGCATTATGAGTGTGTGGTGGTTGATTAAAGTTTACTTCTGGTTGTAGCCAGTATTGATTCAGAATTTTATCATGGTTATGTGAGAAAAGATTTGTCCTAATGGTTGTGTTATGGTCCAGTGTGTTTCGGTTTAGATTGGATTTATGGGTTAGCCCGTGGCTTGATGATCACTCTTGATTTATAGATCTTCCAAAGCTTGATTCAAAAGTTCAAATCTTGGTAGTTGATCTTTGATAGAATGGTCCTAAAGATGAGTTGATCACTTGGAGAGATGAACACGACTTTGAAAATCATACCTCAGGCTTTTGGTCGTGTTGGTTATTCTTCCTTGTTCTTCTTTATGTTCGAGGACGAACATGTGTTTTAGTGGTTGATAATGTAACGACCCTCTTAGTCATTTTATGAATTTTACCCATTTTTCTAAGTTAGCCCCGTTTAATAGTTTTTATAAATGATTTATGACTTGTGAGAATGAGTGATTTAATTTTTAAATTTAATAAATGATTATTTTATTGTTAATAATAAAGGAAAAGAAAATAAATGGGCCAAATCCATATATAATATAATTTAAGTTAATACCCTATATTATTTTCGATCAATCTTTTAATTTTAAAAAGAAAAGAAATCTCCAAAGAAGCACGACATAACCTCAGCCGTCGGCACAAGCATATGAGCGACGAACCTCCCGCAGGTAAACATTAATTATGCCTTAATCAATGTGTTGGTGTATATTCATAGATGTCATGTTATCATTATTTATTATTATTATTATTATAGTTGATTGTAATAGAAAAAGAAAAACAAGAAAGTGAGTTTGGATCAATAAGAAGTGGAAATTGGAATACTGTATAATGTTATTGAAATTGGAGAAATATGGGTCTAACATTTAGTTGACAATGATAATAATCATAAAGAAGGTTAGGAGGATGAATGTGATTATGAATTAAAATATAATTTCATTACTAGAGGTTATTGGGTTTTTTGTTCTTGTATCGATTTTCCAGTTGGATTTTTCGTGGTTGTCACATTATGACTCCTATCTTAACCTATTGATACATGTAAGTAAATATTATGTGTATTATATTATATGAAAGCTATTAGGGTTATAGTGTTGGAGAAATTATGACTTAACCTTAGGCATGAATTTGAGAAATATGAAAGTTGACATGTTAATGGACATCGAGCTTAAGAACTTGATTATAAACTTGGGTAAATTTTTGGGTCAAAGCTAAACACATAGTAATATGAGTGTTGTTAGTTTTGGAATCTTATTGTGGTCATTTATTTGAATAGATTGCTTTGATTTGGAAGTTCAATGAAAAGGGAAGACTTAACTCCCAGAGTGATTGTTCGACTATTTGAGGCAAGTGGATTTCTAAACCCTTGTTAAGTGTATGGAATTCATGTATTTCCTTGTAATATGTGTTTAGAGTTATGAGACTTGGTGATGGGTTGACTTGTCCACATTGATTAATTCTAATGATGAGAAAGGGATAATAAAAGGCAATGTGATCAATTGTTTGTGTGATGTGTTGAGAATTGTTTGAAAGGCTTGTTGAATCATTGTTGATGTTGTATCCTGATTGTGTTGTTGTGAATTGTGCAATGTTATGAAAATGGTCATCTCTTCATTATTTGTGTGAACATGTTATTTGCATTGTTCCGAGACATGGTTGTGACAAGTGTTATGTGCATTGAGAAAGAATAAGAAAATAAAGAGGATATACCATTTCGAGGGACGTATCGCGCGCCGCGATGGATACTATATTTCGAGGGACGTGTCGCGCGCCGCGACGGATACTATATTTCGAGGGACGTATCGCGCGCCGCGATGGTTACTATTATCGAGGGTCGTATCGCGCGCCGCGATGGATGCATGGACAGATATGTCCCCCATGGGTCCCGGACTGAGAGACAGCGGGTGTGTATCATTAGGTCAGACATGCATCACTATACTTGACATTGCATTGCACTTCTTTATTATTGGTGAACTTGATCTTGTGTGTTGTTGATCTTGTGAGTGCCTTTCTATGTTGAGGATATGAAACTAATGTTGTTGTTGAGGATATGAAATTGTTAGAGTGTTGTGTTGAGCTATGTGTTTTGTAAACTTTGAACTGTTATGTTGGGCTGGTACTAAGCAGGTTGTAGTTGTGGAGGTGGTAATTGATGAACTTGTTGTTGAGAATATATGATTGTTAGAATGTCGTTGTTGAGATATGTGCTTGTAAATTGTGAACTGTTAGGTTGGGCTGGTTTTATACAGATTGTAGTTGTGAAGGTTCGGTTGGGGTGTAAGGAGTACTTGTATTCTATCCCCTTAGCTCGTGTTTAGAGGTTTACTTGCTGAGTACCGTGTGGTTTGGTACTCACCCCTTGCTTCTACAAATTTTTGTAGGTTACGAGCCTGGATTTTTGTGGTACTTGTCATTCTCTTCTTTTCCAAGGCTTCTGGGAGATTTGTGAGGTAGTTGTTTGTCTTCTCAGCGATCCTTCTTACTCCTGTTTATGATCTTGTTCTACTCTAGAAACAATGTCATATGAGACTTGTATTTTTCTTTTGATTCAATTGTAATACTTTAGAGGCTTGTACACGTGACAACCAGATTTTGGGGGTATATTTGAGTTTATTATAAAAATTTCCGCATTTTATTGTAATGGTTGAGTTTTAGGCTGACTTGTCTTGGTGGGTTAAGACGAGTTCCATCACGTCCATTTTTGGGTCGTGACAATTATCTATACCTAACTAACAATAATCAAATCAAATTAACAATTGAATAACACAACCAACAAACAAAAACAATAATATACTAACAAACAATCAATTATAATTACTAGCATTACAGCCAAGTATTAATACTAGATGGACACAAACACATTATTCAAAACAATTGTACTTGAACTTGAGAAATTTAGAAGCACCAACCTTATCTCCAACTTTGATGAAAGAAGCAAAATAGTCATGTATCAACTTTTTTACATGTTGAGCTTCCTCAGTTGCCTAGCACGAAAAGTTCTTAAATTAGTTAAATATAAACTTCATATCCAAGAATATTAGTTTATATATATATATATATATTCTCAAGTTTTAATAAGTTCAAGTTTCAATTCAAGTTCATATATAATTTCTAAACTTAATTAGTTATATATTCAAGCTAATTAGTTCCAAGTTCAAGTTATAATTTCAAGTTCATATTCCTAATTAAGTTCAACTTATAGTAAATTCAAGTTATAATTAATTATAAGTTCTAATTAAGTTGTAATTCAAATCCCTAAAATTCTAAATTCAAACTAGCTAGCTAGTGTCCCAACTTCAAACTATTAAATTAGTCCTAAAATATCAAATATAATTCAAACTATTAGTCCTAAATTCCAAATTCAAATTAGTCTTAAAATCACAAATTGAAAGTACTCCTAGAATTCAAAAATCAAACTATAGTGCTAAAATCCCAAATTCAAACTATTAGTATTCCTAAAATCTCAATAATAATTCAAACTAGTCCTAAATTCAAAATTCAAACTAATCTTAAAATCACAAATTCAAACTAGCCCTAAAATCCCAAAATCTAACTAGTACTTAAAATCCTAAATTCAAATTAGCTAGCTATTCCTAATCCCAAATTCAAACTATTAGTCCTAAAATCTCAATAATAATTCAAACTAACTCAAATAATACCCAAGTTCAAACAACTCCTTAAATACCCTAATTCAATCTAATCTTACAATTCCAAAATCAAACTAATTAACTTAAGAAATACCGAATTTCAAACAAATCCTAAGATACCCTAATTCAAACTAACCCTAACATTAAAATTTTCAATTCACAATCAACAAACACAAACTAACAATCAAATAATCCCTAATTCAAACTAACAATCAAATAATACCTAATTCAAACTAACAATCAAAAACCCTAAATCATTCACTTACTAACTAACAATCAATCAAACTAACAATCAATAAAACTAAGTATATTAGTACTCTAATTTTGAGATACTTCAACTAAATAGAAACAAAAGTAATTTATTATGGAGGTTCTAAAAATTCACCTTCACTAAGAAGGTCGGGGATGGAGGTGCTGGCCGAGATGGAGGCGACGCCGGTCGGAATGGAGGCGGCGCCGGTCGGGAGGGAGGCGCGCGACCTCCTGCTGCTGGGCGTCACTCCCTCTGCAGCTGCCGCGACGTCCTCTGCTGCTGCGAAGGAGGGTGGCTGCGGTGGGGGATGGCGGCGTGGCGCCGGTCGGAGAGGTGGCGTGGCGCCGGTCGGGGATGGGTGGTGGGGATCGGCGCCGATGGGGTGGGTCAGGGGTGGATCTGCAGTTGGGAGTGAAAGTGGACTAGGTTTTGAGAGTTAGTGTTTAATTAGGAGGAAGACTTATATTGTCATTCTTTTTTAAGAGAATTCTTTAATTTACCGACCTCGGGATGTCGATATTTTTTAAAATAATACATCTATATATATATATATATATATATATATATATATATAGATACAGATCTATATATATATGTAAATTTATTATATATGTATATGTATACATCTATATATATATATATACATATATACATCTATATATATATATCTAAATTTATTAAATTAAACTTCTGTTGATGTGTAGTTAAATTATAAATATATATAGACACACACACACACATATATATACATAATTATTTTAATATAAACTCACCTCTTGAGGTTGATTTTATTAATTAAACATATATAATTTAACTACACATCAACATATAATATATGTATATGTATACATACATATATATACATCTATATATATGTAATTTATTAAATTTACATATATATATAGATGTATATATGTATATATATAGATGTATACATATACATAAATATACATCTCTCTCTATATATATACATATATATACATATATATATATATATATATATATATATATATATGTAAATTTATTAAATTAAAATTTTGTTGATGTGTAGTTAAATTATATATATATATATATATATATATACACACACACACACATATATACATAATTATTTTAATATAAACTCACCTCCTGAGGTTGATTTTTTTAATTAAACATATATATATATATACACACACACACGCACACACATATATATATATACATAATTATTTTAATATAAACTCACCTCTTGAGGTTGATTTTATTAATTAAACATATATATATATATATATATATATATATATATATATATATATATATGTGTGTGTGTGTGTGTGTGTGTGTGTGTGTATGTAAATTTATTAAATTAAACTTCTGTTGATGTGTCGTATAATTATATATATATAATTTAACTACACATCAACAGAAGTTTAATTTATTAAATTACATATGTATATATATATATATATATATATATATATGTGTGTGTGTGTGTGTGTGTGTAAATTTATTATATCTGTATACATATATATATAGATGTATACATATACATATATAATATATACATCTATATATATATACATATATACATCTATATATATATA